CTTGTGCTGGGCCCCCCCGCAGGCCTCGAAAGTGGCGACAGTTTCGCAGATCGCAGCCCCCCAGGGATGGCGAGGTACAATTTGAATCCGCCGTGTGTACCCATTGTGCTGGGCCCCCCAGCAGGCCTCGAAAGTGGCGACAGTTTCGCAGATCGCAGCCCCCCAGGGACGGCGAGGTACAATTTGAGTCCGCCGTGTGTACCCACTGCGCTGGGCCCCCAGCAGGCCTCGAAAGTGGCGACAGTTTCGCAGATCGCAGCCCCCCAGGGACGGCGAGGTACAATTTGAGTCCGCCGTGTGTACCCTCTGTGCTGGGCCCCCCAGCAGGCCTCGAAAGTGGCGACAGTTTCGCAGATCGCAGCCCCCCAGCTGGCACGCAGCGGCGAGCGAAGGCAGGGGGGAAGAGAGGGACGGGGGGGGGAAGGAAGGCGCGAGCAGTGCTCTATTCAAAATTATTTCGGCAAAGCAACCTAGCAGCGATGTGTAGAAGCATAACTGGAAACATTGCCTGTTGTATTCATGTAAGAGCGCTGTTGTAGAATTCTGGTATTCTCGCAGTCGTATTCGGATTCGCAGTGGCAGTCGCAGTGGCAACATCCGCGGCAGTCGCAGTGGCACTGCCAGTAGTCGCGGTAGCAATAGCTACACTAGCAGCAGCAATAGCAGCAGCAGCAGTATTAGTAACAGTAGTAGTAGCAGTAAAAGTAGTAGTGATGGTAGTAGTGGTAACAGTGAAGTAGTAGTTGTAGTGTGTGGAGTGATCGAGTAGGAGTGATGGGAGCAGTGGTAGTAACAGTAGGAACACTGCTTTCGACAACTGTATCTCCAAATGAAATCTTTGTATAAATGCATTGAAGTCTAAACACGTGGCCCGGGAGTGGAGTTCTGGGAAGTGGAAAAGCACGAAGTGACCTACAGTTGGCTCCGGGCATTCAAAATGTGGCCCAGAATTGTGTTCTGGGAAATCCAAGAGCACGAAATGGCCTACGGTTGGCTCCGGGCATCCAAAATGTAGCACGGGAGTGAAGTTCTGGGAAATCGAAGAACACAGGCCTACAGTTGGCTCCGGGCATCCAAAATGTGGCCCGGGAATGGAGTTTTGGGAAGTCGAAGAGCACGAAGTGGCCTACAGTTGGCTCCGGGCATTCAAAAATGTGGCGTGGGAATTCAGTTTTGGGAATTCGAAGAGCACGAAGTGGCCTACAGGTGGCTCCGAGCATCCAAAATGTGGCCCGGGAATGAAGTTCTGGGAAGTCGTAGAGCACGAAGTGGCCTACAGTTGGTTTCGGGCATTCAAAATGTGGCCCGGGAGTGGAGTTCTGGGAGGTCGAAGAGCACGAAGTGTGTGACTGTTTGCTTAAAAGGAGCCCGGCCCTGAGCCCGGCCCTCGCTGTTCGGATGCCGCCCAGACCTCCCTTCTGAGTCATCAGATGCTCTCTTTTGACGAGTACTACTACTACTACTACTACTACTACGACGACGACCACTACTACTACTACTACTACTACTACTACTACTACTACTACTACTACTACTACTACTACTACTACCACTACTAGTACTCCTACTACTACTACAACTACTAGTACTACAAATACTACTACTACTACTACTACGACGACGACGACTACTACTACTACTACTACTACTACGACGACTACAAATACGACGGATACTGCTACTAATACTAAGTTTACTACTACTACTACCACCACTTCTAATACTACCACTACTACTACTACTACTACTACTACTACTACAACTACCACTACTACTACTACTACTACTACTACTACTACTCCAACTGCTCAGTAACTACTGCTACTATACTACTCACACTACTATACTACTACTTACTTAAACTACTAACTACTTAACTAATAACCACTACTACTAACTAAACTACTACGACTATACGGTAGTAGTAGTAGTACGACTACGACCTACTACTAACTACTAACTACTACTACGCTACCACTACTACTACTAAAACCACTACTACTAACTTACTAACACTATTACCACCACCACCATTCTACTACACCATACTACTACTACCACTACTACCACTACTACTACTACTACTACTACTACTACCACTACTACTACTACTCTACTACTACTACTACTACGATACTAACTACACTAGTACTACAAAATACAACTACTACTACTACTACTACTACTACGACTACTACTACTAACTACTACTACTACGCTTGCTACAAATACTACCTGATATGCTACTAATACTACAGTTTACTACTACTACTACTACTACTAACTTACTACTACGAATTACTACCAACTACACTACTACTACTACTACTACTACTACTACTACCACTACTACTACTACTACTACTACTACTACTACTACTGCCACTACTACTGCTACTACTACCACTACTACTACTACGACTACTACTACTACTACTACTACTACTACTACTACTACGACTACTACTACTACTTACTACTACTACTACTACTACTACTACTGCTACTACTACTAATACTACCACTACTACTACTAAAACCACTACTACTACTACTACTACCACCACCACTACTACTACTACTACTACTACTACTACTACGACTACTACTACTACTACTACTGTGACTACCATCACTACTGGTTCTACGACTACAACGACAACAACAACTACTACTACTACTACTACTACTACTACCACCACTATTGCTGTTACGACTGTTTCGAGCCGTTGTTTTCGACTGCAAAACTGTGATGCACCTACCTAATTGAACAAACGCAACTCATTTTCAAAAATAATTTCAAAATAAGTGGGCGGAGACGCCAAACGCATTGGAACCCGAGGGGGAGGAGGGGAAAGGACGGAGAGGGAGTGAGCTCGAAGGCTCTTGGAGAAGGGGATGTGACCATCCCAGGGAACGGTCCCCCCCCCCCCGTGGAGACGAGGCACCAGCCGTGGCAACAAGCTTCCCCCCTATCCCCCCCCGCGACCTGAGTGCACCGCCCAGGCCAGCGGGGGGCGTCATAGGAGGCCAAGGGTTCTGACATCGCTGAGAGGCGGAAAAGGGGAAGAGGGATGCAAGGATCAGGCAGACGAAAACCCTTTTAGGTTTTGCCCGGCGTGTTAGAATGCCCTTTTGGCCTTTCGCGGGGGCAAGCCCGCGAGGTCGCCCGCGGGCGACGGAGCGCCCTGGCCCTCTTCGTTTGCTCGCCACACTCCCAGATGACCCAGGCCATGTCTGTCGTCATCTACCTCGAGAGTTGAGTATAGTTGACCGGAGTTTGCATCAGTACGTCGAGCGTGATAGTCACGCCTCTGGCGGGCAAGCGTGCTTGGATGGCGCAGCGCGAGGCCGAGGCAGGACCGTCGCTGACTAAGCAAAGAATGCTCCTGCTCAATGTCAAGAATGTCGGAGTCATGTTGGTGTGTCCCTTGAATGGGGTAGCGTTGCTGCTCCTAGAGTTGACATGGGGTCGAATAGCGCTGATCAAAGGCATGAATGTCCTAATGGTGGTGATCCTAAACATGAATGTCGTAGTGGTGATGCTGTGACCCTTGAGTGCGATAGAGCTTTTGCTGGGAGCTGTGCCTTGGATAGCGCTGTGCTCCTGGACCTGAGTGTCCTAGTGGTGCTGCTTTGACACTTGAGTGGGATAGAGATCCTGCTCGTAGATTTGAGTGCCCCTAGCGGTCCTGCTTCGAGCTGTTCCTGGACCAGAGTGTCGTAGTGGTGCTGCTGCGACCCGTGAGAGCTCGGAGTGTCGCAGTGGAATTGCTCCAATAGGAGATTCGGCGGAAGTGCTCTGCTTCTCCCAGCCCTCTTGTCTCGTCCTCCCCCTCGGTATCCTCCAGGAGCCACCGCAGTCATCGTCGTCGACTGGCTCAGCGTCGTTAGCGTCGCTGCCGCTGCCAAAACATCTAGTTAGGGTTTTGCGCTGACTACCTCCAGAAATCCTCGACGGGGCCTTGGTATTTTTCTTAAAAAAATGAAAGGTACTATACGACCGCCCTTCGGTTGATAAGGGAATTCGGGAGGAAGGGGGGAATAACATCTCATTCGATTGGTCTGACTATCGAGGCCACTATCGATCTCATTATCGGTATCGCTCGATCGATCTCATTCGATGTCACAGTCGATATCGTTCGATCCATTTCATTCAATCGATGTCACAATCGATCTGACTATCGATCTCACAATCAATATCACTAGCGATCTCCCTAGCGGATAGACCGGGCACAGCGGACAGAGCGGACAGAGCAGAAAGAGCGGACAGAAGGACAAAGCGGACAGAGCGGACAGAGCAGACAGACCGGACGGAACAAGCAGAGCGGACGGAACAGACAGAGCGGACAGAGCGGACGCAGCGGACAGAGCGGACGGGACGGACAGAGCGGACAGAGCGGACAGAGCGGACGCAGCGGACAGAGCGGACAAAGCGGACAGAGCGGACAGAGCGGACAGAGCGGGCAGAGCGGACGGAACGGACAAAGCGGACAGAGCGGACGGAGCGGACGGAGTGGACAGAGCGGACAGAGCGGACAGAGCGGACTGTGCGGACAGAGCGGACGGAACGGACAGAGCGGACACAGCGGACAGAGCGGACAAAGCGGACAGAGCGTACGGAGCGGACAGAGCGGACAGAGCGGACGGAGCGGACTGAGCGGACAAAGCGGACGGAGCGGACAGAACGGACAGAGCGGACAGAGCGGACAGAGCGGACAAGGCCGACAGAACAACCAACGAGACCCCGGGAAAGGCACCGGAGAGTGCTGGGAGGGTCCCAGGTAGAATCCCAGGGATAATGTAATCATTAGTCGTCTGCCACCAAACCCTGCTCCTCCTCCTCCTCCTCCTCCTCCTTCTCCTCTGCTTCCTCCTCACGACCACACACTGCACGCAACATTGGAGGAGCATGGTGCCAACGCTGCATGCGACCCCAGGGAAACCACAACACTTTTCGAACAAAGGGGTCGGCGGATGTGGCGTAAGCCTGTAAAATCTGTTGCGTCGATGTTTGAACACGCCGGCACACATGTGCTGCTCGCGAAGTAGCACAATTCATCCTGATTGCAAGTCGCAGTGCCGCACTTGCACGGGTACGACGTGCCAGCTTCGTCGAAGTTGGCACATGGCAGCAGTGTGGGTGCAGGCGTGGGCGCCGACGTTGGGGCGAACGTCGGGGCAACCGTCGGGGGCGGAGTCGGCACGCCTGGTAGATGCGTAGGAGCAGGCGTGGGGAGAAACGTAGGAACAAGCGTTGGAGAAGCCGTCGGAGAAACCGTGGGAGCGGACGTCGGGGAATATGTGGGAAGTGCTGTGGGGGCATGCGTCGGAGCCGCACTGCACTCTAGAACGGTGCAAGTTCCACTGTAGAACGGTGGTTCTGATATGGGGTTTATTACCCCCTCGAACCCAGCATTGCACGCACATCCGTCCGCCACGCTGCTTCCTGTTGAATTGCCTGGGCAATTCACGGCCTCGCAGGATCCGCTGTAGTATGGTTCGATCGTCGTTGCCGTGATCGCGTCAGAATAACCAGCCTCGCATGTCCATGTGCCAGAATAGCCAGGATTACACACACATCCGTTGGCTACACTGGTCCCTGAAGAACCCGCCGGACACTCCACTGCAACGCACGATCCATTGTAGAACGGAGCTTCCGATGCAGGCCGAATTGCTCCCATGTACCCAGGTTCGCAAGTACAATTGTCTGGTACACTAACTCCTGTGGAATGTTCAGGGCAATTCACTGCAATGCACGAACCGTTGTAGAATGGATAATCTCTTGCAGGCCATATCGAACCCGAGTAGCCCGCATCGCACACACAGCCATGCCCCACACTGTGCCCTGTTGAATTGTCTGGGCAATTGGAGTCCTGAACTATCGCCACATTCTCATCCTCATCCTCCTCATCCTCATCCTCATCCTCATCACCCTCCTCTTCCTGCTCCTCCTCCTCCTCCTCCTCCTCCTCCTCTTCCTCCTCCTCCTTCTCCCCTTCCTCCTCCTCCTCCTCCTCTTCCTCCTCCTCCTCCTCCTTCTCCTCCTCCTCCTTCTCCTTCTCCTCCTCCTCCGAGCCGACTTCTGGCCGTCTGGGGACCATCTTGGGCGTTTGGGAAGCGGCTGGGGTGCCGAATTGGGAGTGCGGGACGCATGCGGGCGGCAGCATTGGGGCCTTCGGTGGAGCAAACGCGTGAGGGGTGTGCCGAATTGATTGTGCGTGACGCATGCGGGCGGTAGCACTGGGGCCTTCGGTGGAGCTCCCCATTGGCGCCTCTTGAGGCCCTCTTGGGGCGCTCTTGGGAGCCTTGGGAGCGCTCTTGGGGCCATCTTGGAGGTGATCGATCAAAGGAATGGGGGTCACCCAATTAGCGTCCCCCCTCGGGAGCCTCTAAAATCGGCCAACACCCTAGTAAAACCAATGATTTTTGCTTCCTCGCCGAGGCCGTTTTGGACGCTCCAACTACCAGCGAAACCCCCCGTCCAGGTCCAGGGGAGGGGGTCAGGGGGAGGGTAAACCCCTCCCCCAAGGGGAAGAAGGGAAGATGGAAGAGGAAATTCCCTAAACCACCGACGCCCAGAGGGCTGGTGGGACTCTTCCATCTTCCCTTCTTCCCCTTCGGAGACGGGTTTACCCCTCCCCCTAACCCCCTCCCCTGGACCTGGACGGGGGGGTTCGCTGGTAGTTGGGAGCGTCCAAGATGGCCCAAGATGGCTCCAAGAGGGCCTCGGAGAGCCCAAGATGACCTCCAAGATGGCTCAAGACAGCCCAAGACGCCTCAAGATGGCCCTGAGGATGCTCCCAAAGGCCCCAAGACCGCCCCAAGACGACTCCAATTGGCCACGTAGCCTCCCAAGGAGGCCCCCCAAGAGGCCAGAATGGCTCCCAAACCTAAGGAAAATCAATGTGTTTTGCTTTCTCGCCTTTTCGCTTCCGATGGCCCTTCGAGGCCTCAAGATGGTTCCAAGAGGGCCCAAGAGGGCCCAAAGAGGGGCCCAAGATGGCCCCAAGACGGCCCTAAGAGCGCCCAAGAGCGCTCCAAGAGCGTCCCAAGAGGGGTCCAAGAGGCGATGTTAGAGGCTCCCGAGGGGGGACGCTAATTGGGGGACCCCCTTCCTTTGATCGATCACCTCCAAGATGGCCCCAAGAGCGCTCCCAAGGCTCCCAAGAGCGCCCCAAGAGGGCCTCAAGAGGCGCCCAGGAGGCCCCAAGATGTCCCCAAGAGGCCCTCAAGAGGCTCCCCAGACACCCAAGAGGCCTCAAGAGGGTCCCCGAGGCATCCAAGAATCCCCCAGGCGCTCCAAGAGGACTCCAAACCAACTTCCAAGGGACATCCTAGGAGGCTCTTGTGCACGTCATTGTTCGTGGTCCTTCTCATCTTTCTCATCCTCCTCCTCCTCCTCCTCCTTGTCGGCCTACTCCTCCTCCTTCTCCTCTACTTTATCAGCCTCATCCTCCTCCTCCTCCTTTCCTCTTCTCTTCCTCCCCTCCTCCTCCTCCTCCTCCTCCTCCTCCTCCTCCTCCTCCTCCTCCTCCTCCTCCCCCTCCCCCTCATCATCCGCCTATTCCCCCTCCTCCCTCCTCCCTCCTCCCACTTTTCCCACCTGCTGCCCCTCCTCCCCCTCCTCCCCCTCCTCCTCCTCCTCCTCCTCCTCCGACTCCTCCGACTCCTCATCCATCCTCGCCCTCTTGGGTAAGACGGGTCCCCCAGCCCTTTGCTACTCTGTATGCTCCCTCACTTCCCTGATCACCGCACTTCGCCTGGGCATCGTTTTTGGATGGGCTGGTGGGGATACGCGAAACGTCAAGAATTTCTGGGATTTCTTCATATCCCCGGATTTCCTGGAATTTCCATAATTTCTGGAAGTTCTGGGTTTCCTAAGAATTTCTCTAATTTTTTGAATTTCTGGATTTCCCGTGAATTTTTCGAATCTCTGGAATTTCTGGATTATCTGGATTTCCTTGGAATTTCTGGAAACCCGGGAATTTCTGAACCTTCTGGAAATTCCAGGAAATCCAGGAATTCCCCAAAACTAGAAATTCCAGAAATTCTAAAAATTCACCTAAAAATTCACCAGGATAGAGGCGCCGGCCCTGGCCTGCAATGTGGTTATGGTTGCCACGCCAAGGCAGATGTTTTGTAGAAACGTTGCAGTGTAGCTCGGTGTCGGTGACTGATCGTTGAACATGACCAAATCATTCGGAATGTTATACACGCAGCCGTAAAAACTCATGCCATCCCAAGCGGGCTTTCCGATAGTAGTCTTGTCGCCCAAGCCAACTCGATGATGCTGCACCGCATCTCCGAAACACTCATCCTCGGAAAGCACGTCAGCGAGCTTGTACGATGCACAGCTCTGATCTGGAGGAAGCAAGGAATAGGCCTGATGCGTGTTGGAAACAGTAATCGCGGTGATGCTGGACTCGCTTGTGCTGGTCGTTCCAGTAATGGTCGTTCCGGTGCTGGTTACGGTGCTGCTGGTCTCACTGCTCGACGTCAGGACACCGATGCAGATGTACTTGTGTTCTTGAGAAGTGAAGCTCGGGTTCGGTGACTGATCGTTGAACATGACCAAATCCGCTGGAATGTTATACGCGCAACCGTAAAAACTCCTGTCATCCCAAGTGGGCTTTCCGATAGTAGGCTTGTCGCCCAAGCCAACTCGATGATGCTGCACAGCATCTCCGAAACACTCATCCTCGGAAAGCACGTCAGCGAGCTTGTACGATGCACAGCTCTGATCTGGAGGAAGCAAAGAATAGGCCTGATGCGTGTTGGAAACAGTAGTCGCGGTGATGCTGGACTCGCTTGTGCTGGTCGTTCCAGTAATGGTCGTTCCGGTGCTGGTTACGGTGCTGCTGGTCTCACTGCTCGACGTCAGGACACCGATGCAGATGTACTGGAGTTCTGGAGAAGTGAAGCTCGGGTTCGGTGACTGATCGTTGAACATGACCAAATCATTTGGAATGTTATACACGCAACCGTAAAAACTCATGCCATCCCAAGCGGGCTTTCCGATAGTAGTCTTGTCGCCCAAGCCAACTTGATGATGCTGCACCGCATATCCGAAACACTCATCCTCGGAAAGCACGTCAGCGAGCTGGTACGATGCACAGCTCTGATCTGGAGGAAGCAAAGAATAGGGCTGATGCGTGTTGGAAACAGTAGTCGGCAGGCCAGCTGGGGCAACAGCGCGCACTCTCGGTGCTGGCGCCGTGCCTGCCGCCGCCCCCGGGGCAGCCGATGCAGCGGGCGCCGCCGCCCAGGGCGCCCACACGGCACGCAGCGTCGCCCACGCCAGCAGCGCAGCCAGCATAGCGGAGCTGGCGGAAGGCCGTGGGAAGCGCGTGCTGGGCCGCTGGACCTTGAGCCCAAGCGGCTGCGGAGGTGACACAAGTGGAGCCGCGAGGTGGCCCTCGCGCCGCCCCGCGGAGAAGGTCAGTCCCACCGCTCAGGCGGCGCCCCGCGCGAAGTGCCGTGATCTTCGGACCCATGCGAGTGAGCTGCGTGGCCAGCGGGCTCGAGGGCCCGCCGCGCGAGGGAAAGCCAAGCACGCGCAGTGGAAATCCAGGGTGAACATTTTTTATTCGGAATTTCGACATTGGGCGGAAAAGGGGGGGAGGGGGTCTGCCTCCGGACCTTTGCTTAGTGCGACTGTATGCAATAGTGAGCCCCACGGGGGAGACTCCGCCCGTTCGACTGGCTGGTCCACACAGGGGCCGAACATCATATTAATTACGGATCCGCAGCGCTCATCTGATGCGAACTTGGCGTGATGGTGGCAATGATGACGACGACGGCGGCGATGATGACGCCATTGATGTCGGCGGTCATGATGACGACGGTCATGATGTCGGCGGTCATGATGACGGCGGCAATGACGACGACGGTTATGATGTCGGCGGTCATGGTGTCGCTGACTGCGCTGAAGAATGTCGGTGGTCATGATGGCGACTACGATGGTAGTGATGACGACGACTAGCTTTTCCGCTCGCAAGTGTCGCGGCGCCAGCTGCCGCGACGCCGCCTTGGCCTTAGATGGCGCGCCAGAGGCAGCGCCGCGGGCACGCCAGAGGCAGCGGCTCGGCCACGCCAGAGGCAGTGTCTCGGGCAACCATCTCCTAGCGAAGGTATTCCCAAGGGTTGTTCTTACTATGCCCGCTTCCGGAGGGCGGTGAATTGTCGGGGCACGCCAGAGGCAGTGCATTCTGGCCGCTTCCTGAGGCCGATTCCTAAGGGCGGTCAGTTGGCGGGCACCCTTCGGCCGCTTCAGGCCGTTTCCTGAAGCCACTTCGCGTTGGGGCGCGCTCGCCGCGGCGGGGCGCGCCAGAGGCAGTGCCTGCGTCCACTTCGCCCATGGCGGGGCGCGCCCATGGCGGGGCGCGCTCCTCCTGCCGCGCCCAGTTCGCCCATGCGATGAGCATGCCTTTGTTGTCGGCCTTCTCGCACCAGGCGAATCCCACCAGCCCTCTGGGCGTCGGTGGTTTAGGGCGTTTCCCCTTCCACCCCTCCCTCTTCCCTTTCGGGGAGGGGTTGCCCCTCCCCCTACCCCCTCCCCACTGACCTGGACAGGAGGGGCGGGGAGCGGTCACAGCGTCCAAAACGGCCTCGGCGAGGAAGCCAAAATCATTTGTTTTACTATGGTTTTGGCCCCATTTTGGCCTTCTGAGGGGGCAGGGCTAATTAAAGCTCCCCTCTTCTTTGATCGATTTCCTCCACGATGGCCGCAAGAGGCCCCCAGGATGCCCCAAGAGGCCGCAGGATGGCCCCAAAATGGCCCCAAGAGGTTCCCCAAGAGGCCCCCAGGAGGCCCCCAAGAGACCCCCAAGAGGCCCCAAGAGACCCCCCAGAGGCACCCAAGGTGCTCCCAGAGGCCTCGGCGATAATGTCAAACCATTGTTTGCACTAAGGTTTTAGCCACATGTTGGCCTCTTGGGGGGGGCACTGATTAAGATGACTCCAGGAGCGCCCCGGAGAGCCCAACATGACCTCCAAGATGGCTCAAGAAATCTCAAGATGTCTCATACTGGCTTCCTCTGTGTGCTGTCCACTTCCCTGATCGAGGCAATCCCACCAGCCCTCTGAACGTCGGTGGTTTAGGGCGTTTCCTCTTCCACCCCTCCCTCTTTCCCTTCGGGGAGGGGTTTACCCCTCCCCCTACCCCCTCCCCGTGGACCTGGACGGGGGGGGGCCGCGAGCGGTCACAGCGTCCAAAACGGCCTCGGCGAGGAAGCCAAAATCATCGATTTTACTAAGATGTTGGCCTCGTTTTGGCCTCCTGAGGGGGCAAAGATGGCCCCAAAAAGCGCACAGGAGGCCCCCAAAGGCCCCAAGATGGCCCCAAGAGGCACCCAGGAGGCCAAACATGATCCCGAACGGCCCACAGAGACCCCCCCGAGGCACCCAAGACGCCGAACAACCCCTCAGGACGACCCTCTACTCGCCTGGGCGTCGTTTCTGGACGGGCTGGTGGGGATACGCGAAGCGTTTCCCCACCAACCCTCTGGGCGTCGGTGGTTTAGGGCGTTTCCTCTTCCACCCCTCCCACTTCCCCTTCGGGGAGGGGTTTACCCTTCCCCCCACCCCCTCCCCACTGACCTGGACAGGAGGGGCGGGGAGCGGTCAGAGCGTCCCAGATGGCCCAGGACGGTTCCAAGAGGGCCTCAGAAAGCCCGAGATCGCCTCCAAGATGGCTCATGATAGCGCAAGATGCCTGAAGATGGTTCAGAAGACGCTCAAACACGTTCAAAGACCGCCCCAAGATGGTTCCAAGTGCCCACAAGAGCATCATTAGAGTGCCCTCAAAAAGCCGAAATGCTTCAAAACCCTGAGGAAAATCAATGTTCGTGGTGTTCTCACTTTTTCGCTTCCGAAGCCCATCCGAGGCCTCAAGATGGCGCCAAAATGTCCCAACTGGGCCCCAACAGGGGCCCAAGAGAGCCTCAAAACTGCCTCAACAGCGCGGGCAAAGATGGCCCCAAGAAGCGCCCAGGAGGCCCAAACCCAAGATGGCCCCAAAAAGGCCCCAAGAGGCCCCCAGGAGGCCCCAAAGAGGATCCCGAACGGCCCACAGAGGCCCCCCCGAGGCACCCAAGACGCCGAAAAGCCCCTCAGGACGACCCTCTACTCGCCTGGGCGTCGTTTCTGGACGGGCTGGTGGGGATATTTTCTTTTCTTTTTTTTTACAGCCGCGGGCGGAAGCGCCAGCGGCGGCGAGTAACGGTCGGGCTGCGGCCGAAACTAATTGGCCGGACCCGCGCGCGGGCCGCGGCCGGCGCCGGGGCGGCGGGTGCAAGGATGCTGCAACCCAGGGTGTCTGACGCCCAAGGACCTGCACCCAAGTCTGTAACTACGCTGCCAAAATGGCGCGATACAAACAACCCCAAGGTTTCTGAGGCCATAGCCAAGCAGCACGCCGCTTGGGTACACTAACTGAACAGTAGGGTGTCTGCAAGCCTCGGCGCAGCGAATGGCGTACCATAGGGTCCCAGGGTGTCTGAACCATGCTCAAGCAGAAGCGTCCGAGAGACGCGCAAGCTGTCGCCTGACTGCATACCGTAGGGAGAAGTTGGACTCTGACAGCGCCAGCGAACCGTCGCAACTTCAGAGTACGCACCAACGCAGCCAAAATGGCGCGAAATTCGTGGTGTCTGTAACCGAACAAGGCACGTCAGGCCCGGGAAGACAACCTCGAACAGAGATGCGTTCGCAAGCGGGCCATCAGGTAACATGATGTGACGCTATGCGGAAGGTACAACTGCCCCAATCTTTCACCAGGCACAAGTCGCAGGCGACTAGCAACCAAAGATAAAAGCAGGAACGCGTACCAGGGGGCATCTAACGTGACAAGCATACACAGAGCCACGCCTACCCTTGGTACCCTGGCGTACCAGAGTGAAGTGTAAGAAGATGGCGCTCTGGGAAAGCTGCGCTGCCGCTTGCCAGCTGCAGCCGAAGCAACAGCCAGTGGTCACGAAGAAGCCCAGGGAGCTAAGGGCCGCTCATCCAGGTAGAGCGGGGGAGCGACGATGGGGCGACGCCAGTCCGGGCAACAGGAACTGGCGGCCAACAAAGGCAGCAGGCGTACGCACTAGGCACAGGCATAGGCTCAGTCCGCTGACCACCCGCGGCAACACTGTGGCCGGTGCGCGCAGGTGGGTGCGCAACTGCGCCCCTGCGTCCGGGCGCGGCAACAACGTCCTTACGGGTGGGCACACCGCGCCACCGTGCCGGAGGCGTACCTCAACGGCTCAGAAGTGCACCATCTGGTCATGCGTTCGAAACCCGCTGTCGGGACGCCACCCGCCCAAGGTCGCTCAGGGAATAGCAGAGAAGAGCAGCTGAAGGCCGCTGTACCTTAAAGAAACCCAGGGAGTGAGAGTGCGGTTCTGGACAGTGACGAGGCGAAGTCATCTTTGCGTCGGTCACAGAGCCGCGAGGCCGGGGGGCGAAGTCCGACAGGGCCAGAGGTGAAAACAACTACAGCGGGGCCAGGAGCCAACTATGGCCTGCACGCAACACGCCCCAGCGCAGTCATGCATACGGTATTGCTGGTAAACACACTTGGGTCCAAAGGCAGGAAGTGCGCGTACCAGGGAGGGCGGCTGAAGGCCGCCACGCGAGTATATGCAACGTAACCCAGGGAGGCAGCTGAAGGCTGCACAGAATGTGGAAATCAGACGCTGCACCTGAATCTCTTGGGGATGGGGGGGCTCAGTCGCCCCACCGTTGTCTCTTCTCGCCACGATCGTCTGGCCTGCCGCCACCACGCTTGCCTCCTGACTGCCACTGGTCGTCGTGCCAGCCAGAGCTCCAGCCACTCTGCCAGTTGTCCCAGGCGTCCCAGGAGCTCCCAGCCCGGTCATGCCAGCTGCTCTGCTGGTGGCTGCCCTTGCCAGCGCCGTCGGTCCTGGCGTGGCGCATGCATTCAGACCGAACCGTTGCCCAGTCGATGCGGAAATTATACTTCTTGTCCATCGCGTAGGCATCGTATCCACAGCGCTTCCAGTCATCCAAGAACTTGTTGATGTTCTCGTCCGTGTGCAGCTTCGGGTCTGACTTGGGATCCATGCACCCAGGGATCCGGATGCCTTTTGTGTGGGCCGACCAAAGGGCGCAGAATACTCCACCCAAGTCCACTTGGTGTCTGGTGATGCGCTTGGCGGGCGTATCTCCGCGGCGCTCCAAGTCAACGGAGCCCAACCAGGCCTTGTACATGGGGCCTCCGTGGGCGTCGGTCAGCTGGTTGAGAGCGTGTCGTCCCGCTGCGCCAGAGTAGGCAAGACTGCGGCCTGGTGTCTGCGGGTTGCGTATTTGGGGGCGGCGGCCCTTCCCTGTGCCTCTCACGCGCGGCTTCATCTCGACCTGGCCCGCTGGAACCA